CCTCCGGGCGTGGGGCCGGGCCGCCGCCGGCGCAGCCGAAGGGGACCCGGGCACTTGCAGCCGCGGAAAGCCGAGGTTCTGAGGTCCGCCGGGTCCCAGAGGTGGCCGAGCAGGCGAGTGGCCTTAGGGAGAATGTCGGGGGAAGTAACCAGGAAGCCTCACGCCTTTGCCTAGAGCAGTGGTGAGGTGCCCCCTGCAGAATGAACGTGGGATTCTGACTTCGCGAAGCGTTTCAGGTTTAAAACCCAGGTCCCCTCGCCGCCTTTAGAAGGACCCGGGCGCAGGGCGCAGACCAGACGCCGCCAAGGCCGCCTTCCCGCCTCCAGGGCCCTGCGAACCTGCGGCTTGGGGCTGGCCTGGAGTCGCCCGGCAGGGGTGGGCCGGTTAGATTATAGGTGGCCCTGTTGCCCTGCCCTCCCTCACCAGTTAGATGCCTACACGTAGGGCCTGTTCTTAGTGAGTGTGGATTGTTTAGTAAGGCACTAGGGCAGAAGAAGCAAAGTAGCCACTTTGAGAAGGCAGGGTCCTCCGATGGTGCCCAGAAAGCCCCTTTGCCTTTGAGGGGAGGCGGAGTCTGGGCACCTGTTGCTAATATACCAACAGCTCTGCATATGCTGGTGGTGCCAGCTTTTTCTGTGGGATCCTATCTGCCCCTCATCCAAGGAGACTGTTACCCTCTTTTATCTCCCATCTTTTAATCCCTGCCCCAAGCCAGGGGAAAGGAGGAGGGTTGCCACCTGTGTAGCCACTCAGGCATTTTACGTGCACCTGGCTCTGCAGTTCTGGGAGCTTTCCCTTTACCTGACCTAACAGAACTTTGGAGCTTACACTTAATACAGAAGAACAAAGGAGCCTGCTAAGTCGGCAAGGTGGACACACACAGCACATTCTCAAGCCATTTCTGGATATTACCTGTGGGACCAGCAAAAGAAAAAAGTAAATAAACTCTTTGAAGCACCTGAAGACACTTTACAAACACTTCATTATGAAAATGATCCCTGGGGAAGGATTCCTGTGAAAGTTAGCAGCAGCCACAGGGGAGAAGTGGCTTGGACCTGGGTTGCTCAAGAAATGCCCCAAGGCATCCTTGACAGTGACCGGGCACTGCTGGTCCCAGACACCCCAGTAAGGAAAGCAGGATGCTTGTGGTGGAAGATAAACTTCTACAGTTTCTTTAATTTTAGAGTTAACACCCCCCTCCCCAGATTATTATAGAAAATACAGAGAAGTGACAATGAAAACAAAGGGAGGAGGAGTATTATGAACAAGGCTCCAGTGAGCAGTGTTATCCATTTATTTCCTTGGGTTAAACTCCTGGAGATAGGATAACTAGGGCAAAGGATTTGTTGCCTTTTTAAGATATTTGATTGCCTTTCTGTCCTGGGGGAAACTTGTGCCAGTTTACCCTCTCCCCAGCAACAGACAGGACTTCTCCTGTACGCTCCTCCCCACTCACACTCCATAGCGTCATTCTTTTTGTCTCTGAGGGCAGGCGATTATCTTACTGTCTTCTTTTGCATTTCTTTAATCAAAAATGAGAAGGAACATACATTGTCTGTAGTATNCCAGCCGAAGGGCAGGCGATTATCTTACTGTCTTCTTTTGCATTTCTTTAATCAAAAATGAGAAGGAACATACATTGTCTGTAGTATTTCTTCCTTGGGAGTGATGCTGGCTTGTGTCCTTGCCTATTTTTCGGTGGCCCTGTTCCTTTTTCTGCCTAGAGGTGCTCTTGGTACAAGCATTCTGACCCGACGCCTGCCCCTGCCCTGCAATCAGGTGACCTTTATTGACTCGAAGTGCCACTTCTCTTCCCTCTGGTGTAGCAAACAGTTGGCAAGACTGCACACATAAATTACTGAAGTAACTGACATGACCCCAGCAGAGTTATTAGGGAGGCCGCACAAAGGCGTTATTAGAGAAATTCATGGAAAATACCCAGCGTGTACTTTCTGCTTAGTAGCTTTCGCACCTCGACTCCTTTACAGCTTGTGGTGCTGCCGTTTGTTTGTTTTCCATGTAGAACAACGGTTGATGAGCTGTTTTACTGAGTGGATGATACTAACTCACTTCATGGTCTGACCCTTCCATTGATAACCAGCAGACCACGATCCACCACTTGTTCTTGGTCTTTTAATCATTTCTTTCTGACTGAAATTTGTGTCAGTTTTATCGTAAGACTTTCTCTGTTTGGCTCTACTGTTTGAGTCACTGTACTTGGATGAATCTTGAATCTAAGCAATTTAGCAGCACACTGTTAAAACAAATAGCAGGAGATGTCTCCCAGGGGCTGAACCAGGCGCATTTCACCCTCTTTTGTGAGTTTGTGTAGCCACAGTCTCTGTGTTAGTTCTTGCTCGAAGGTAGACGGATGATTCTGAAACGGGTTGGAGGAGAAAGGAAGAGAAAGCCCATGTCAGACAGCGGGTTAATACACACGAGGAACCACATGAGGAAATTTAGGGAAATACTCTAGGTAACCTGGGTACAAAATAGCTTCTTTAAGATAAAATATATTAAAGCCGGGCTGGGCGTGGCTCAGTGGTTGAGCATCGACCTAGGATCCAGGCGATTGGGGTTCGATTCCTGGTCAGGGCACATGCCTGGGTTGCGGGCTCGATCCCCAGTCGGGGGCGTGCAGGAGGCAGCCGATCAATGACTCTCATCATTGATGTTTCTATCTCTCTCTCCCTCTCCCTTCCTCTCTCTGAAATCAATAAAGACATATTAAAATATACATATACATATATATATATTAAAGTGTCATGTATTATTAGAATAACTTCCATAACAGACAGAAAGTGATCTTCTAATTGGGAAAATCCAGTGTGAAATTCTTCCATAGTATGACTGTGGGCATTTCATTGCAGACACACAGAACAGTGAAAGCAGATACTACACTTTTCTGCATTATTCTCCATGCCTTTAAATTTAGAAATCAAATAATATGAATTAGGAATGAACAGTGCTCTCTGCATTAGAATCATAGGCTCTCAAAGGTTGAGCAGGAGCTTAATGGTCATCTAATTCAACCATCCAATATGAGAGAGTGGATCTTCACTCTCTTAAAATAATAAAATACCATCCTACGAGCTTTGTATCATTTCAAACAAACTGAGCTGAGAAACAAATGGGCCAGAAATTTTCAACTCTTTTTTTTTTTAGAGCAGGGGGAGAAAGGAAGGGTTTTAACTCTGGAAGTTTGTATAAGCTCTTTAAACGAGCTGAGCTTTAGACTTAGCAACCTTGGCAGCGAGAGGGTTATGTCACTGAGGTGTTACATTTTGAAAAATTCTCTGACCCATATTCTCTAGCCATTGGCTTGGTGAAGTTCGAAGGTGACATTCAAGGCAAGTGCAAAATAGAAAAGAGAAAGAACAGACTAGAAGGTGCAGAGGGAAACCTGTTCCTTTAAAACTGTCCTCAGGACTTTGTAACAAGACTCTTGGGTCACCCGGGGGATGGCTGGCATTACCTCTCTTAGGCGAATGCGGCTGATGTTGCGAAGCCAAACGTTAGAGACAGTAAACATTACATACACCACCACCAGGCCAGCCGAGGGCGGGCTCAAAGGATAGCACAGTAATTCTTAAAAGAAAATAAAGGGGGGGAGGGATTTTGGAGAGAAACAGAATTTTAGTTTTAAAAATCTACCTTATTTCTTCCTGAGTAGTGCTATGAATTTCTGGAAGTAGTAGAAACATCTTCTGATTTCCACTCGGACGATCTTCCAGGCACAGCGACTATATTTCTTGCCCTTCAGGAAACTGCCTATCCTGTAGAAATACCTCCTCAGCTCTAAGTTGCTCAGCTGGGGCATCATCATTCCGGGGTGTTTCCTGTCCCCCTCTTCCTTCGCTCCCTCGTCTTCAGTTTCCTTCTCTTCTCTCAAGCATTGTTCCAGGTACTGCAGTTGCTGGTCAAGTCCGATTTGGATTTGTTCCAGGTGGTTCTTTTCCCAGGTGGACTGGAAGGTGGACTGAGCCAAGATGTTGAAGGCCAGCATGGACATTTCATAAAAGGTCTCCCTGATGTCTCTTTTCGGAGGCTGGGTATAGGATAGGAGCTCTTGGGGCAACTCAAAAGCTTCGTTTTCTCTTAGGCACTCCACAGGAAATGATTTGCTCAGACTGCTCAGAAGCCGCAGATTTTGCCAGATGACTCTACGCAGGTGAGTGTGCAGCAAGTCACAGTCCAGGGAGAGGGTGCCTGTGAAGAACAGGCCCACAAGGCACGCAGGCCACAGACGCTGTCGAATCACATCAGGCATGGTGTTCATTTTCCTCCTGAGCCAAAAGATTCGTAAGACTCAAGGTTAAGGACGCCGTTCTAGTCTAAAGGTGCCTTTGTGTGCCTTTTATACACCTGAATATCTTCAGTGGGGAGGAGTTTTCTTATTTGTCATTATGATGTTCAGGGTTTCAGCCCCTTTCCTTTACCTCTGAGGCTTTTTTTTTACACTTTGGGTGACTACGCTGACTTTGGAAATTCTCAGGTGCCGGGATGATCCATAGCATACTATAGAATCGTCATAGCAAGACTAATGCAGAGTATTTCAGAAAGAACTGAAGGCGGTGTGACTCTCTATACTCTCACCCAACACTATTACATAAGAGTGATCCTCCAAGAACTGAGTTAATCATAGACATTGATCAAATGATTATGATTATTTGATTGTAAGGTTAATCTTGTTAAATTACGCTTCCATATTTGGATATTTTCTCTTTTTATTTGATTTTCCTGAATCTCAAAAAAGATCAAAAACAGAGTTGGTCAGTTGATCATGGCACTTATCAAATAAAAGACTAAGGCGGCTTGGTTTTCTGCTGCCCATAGGAAATGTTGATATTCCCCAGCTATCCTTTCCTTTACTTAAAACCAAGCCAGCGCTTCCATCCCCGCCTGCATTTCACAGGCCTCTGATTTCTTTCATAGAGTCCTCTTGGGGGTTGGATATGGAGGAGTATTTTTCTGTTTCATTGACTTCTCTCTTGTAGTGCCATACATTTTCTTTACTTCTAGGTATGGTTTTGACAGTATTTTAAAACTTACACTCAGCTATCTTCCCTTCTTCTTTGGAGGTGGTTGACACTGTAAAGGTTTTTGTTTGTTCTTGTTTGTTTTTCATTGAGGAAGTGTGTGAGTGGGTGATTACCCATTTTAGCCAAGCTACTTTACACCTGGACCCATATTTCCATGGTAATGATGGTTTTCCCTTTGTTTGATTAAATAACCTTCTTCCGTCATGGTCAAGGCAAATGGATTCCTTTCTCCAGGAAACTGAAGTAAGATGTCATTTAACAAGGCTAGCCCAATTATCATCTTAAAAAGAGAACTACATTAATTTTTAATAAAGTCATTTTGGAATGGTAAGCGACCACATTTCCACAACTATGGCAGACTTAGATTGGAAATTTGGCTTAAAATGTTATTGTTTAAAGCAGTTGGCTGTACCAAAGACTCATTGTGGACAAGTGAGGTTTCTTGAAATTCTGATTTTGGACTGGTTTCCAATGAAAAGAAAACTTACTACATGTATTACTCTAAATGCTCTCTCTCTATAAATTCTGATTTCACAGATTTTGTGGGGTGACTAACTTGGAAAAGTAAGTGGGAAAAAGTGATCTTTTATATAATTTCACACAACCTTAATAGAGAGCAAAATGCTGATGTGTATCAAAAGCCTTGAAAATGTACAGAATCTTCGAATCTTTCTCTCTCTCTCTCTCTCTCTCTCAGAATTTATGCTCAAGAGACCGTGATGAATGTCATTAAAGACTTTGCTGTCAGGAAGTTTTTCACAGCAAAAAGTAGAAAACAATTGAAATTTTTAGCAATAGGTACTTGGTTAAGTAATTCATCGATTAAAATATCCGTGCAAGTATTAAAAATTATGTTGTAGGAATATATTTGGACACTTGAATAGATTCATTTTGTAGCTTAAAAACAAGCTTATATGGTAGTATATAGAGCCTGATGCCATATCTGTTATATATTTACATTTGTTATATATTTAACAAATATGGTTATATGTGCAGAAACATCTAGAAATGTGTATGCTACAAATCTTGAGTCATTTCTGAGTGGAAAAATAATGGGTGATTTTTATTTTTGTATTTTTATTTACTTATATCTTTAAAGTTTTGTATAGTGAGCAAGCACTTCTTATTTAATAAAGCAAATTATTTTTAAAATGGGATACATTAAAAAAGAAAAGTCATTATGCATCTTCAGTGGGACCAATACTACTGTAGTTAAACATTTTCATTCTAAACATTTTCATGTTTAACTTCAAAAGGAAATGTGAATTTTCTGAGACTCGGTTCCAATACAGTTAGACATAGAATACAGGGGAGTTCAATTTACTATTCTTGCAACTTTTCATTTAAAAACATATATGTTTATATAAATATACACATTTATTTATAATTATACACACAGCCTCTATAAAATGCAAAGCACCCCTGAGGGCCATACCTTCTTATATATACCCCACATAACAACTTCTGACTAATGGCTGTTGTTAACCTTCTTTAAGTTCCCTGTATTTTCTGCCATGTACAGTTTTGTCATTGCACTCCCTTCACCCCAAATTTCCTGCTTTTATAGCCATTCCACACCATATCCTCATTTACTCTAAACTGTGTTTTTAGCACTTAGCACATGCCAGTCACTGGGCAAGGTCTTGAAGAGCAGGAATAAGCTGCTGTCCAGGGCCTCAGAGTGTCCATGATTGAGTAGGCGGGCATGTTCTGAGTGTTTCAGGGAGCAGGAGTAATGTCTAGGCCCTCCCTGGAGCCTGGGCTTCATTCCCCATGTCCTATAAATGTTACTGATGCTGATGTCGACAGCATTCATGAGAAAGAAGAAAAGATCGTTGACATGCATCTCTTCCCCTCTTCCACAGTTAGGATTGTCTGATTTAGCAAATAAAAATACAGAACATCCATGCAGTATTTGGGATGTACCTATGAAATCATTCATTGGTTATCCAAAATTCAAATTTAGCTGGGTTTCCCCTATTTAATCTGGCAGCCCTCTTCACCATGCAAGCTCCCATTGGCCTTAGAGCAGAACTCAGATATGAAGTTAGCAGGAAGCTTGTCCTCTGCTAACCCTGCACCACATGCACAGGTGCATTCAAATGTGTGTCTCTGCACTGGCTGTACTTGTGTACATGTCCCTAACAACCATGCACACTGCAAAGAGGGAGCCTGCCATGTTAAAACAAGATAGTACACACACACACACACAAACACACGTGCGTGCGCGCGCTCACACATAGTGGCTCTGATCAGAAGCGTTATTGGATGATCAGTCACTAGTCATACCTCTGCTCCATAAAAGCCATACCACCTCAATATATTGCAAAATATAATCAGAAAATTGAAAAGAATGACAGTGTAAGGAAACCTTTTTGTCCCCAAATTTGTCACAACTGCCCAGTATGTCACTAGTGTGCTATGTGTGTGGGCATGGCTAATGTTTCCACAACGTCTGTTCTTATTTCTCTCGCATGTCTTGTGGTCAAGCTTTCCTGGGGAGGTGGGGAAGCTGCTTAGCAGGGGCTGCCCTGTTGTCGAGGGAACTGTGGGAAGTGCACGTGGATTGCACGGTTAACAGTAATGGGCAAGACACAATTTGTTTGACAAAACAGTAGTGAGACACTTCAGTCTAGACAAGATAACTATGATTCAGCTCAGGGCCATTTGGCATCTTCTGGTAAGATTTATTGCTCTCTGTGGAAAGGCAAGTTTCAAACCATTCGAGAGTAGCATGTTGATCATGTTACTCAGTGCAGGAAAGTAAGTCATTCCATTGGGGTCAGGAGGTGACTGGGCCCAGCAGAGAGCTCAGAGATGGGACGCCCGTGTCTATGTCTGGCAGCGCTTCCCACAGGACATGGAGACAACAGTCCCCACCAAGATGTGTGCAGCTCTGTTAGCTCCGGACCAACCCTGAAGCCCCATCAATGGGGCATTTCTCTGGTTCTCCCTGCCCCCTGCATTGGGATCAGCCTCTCCAGGGGCCCCCTGCTTGGCCCTTCTCCGAGTGATGTACCTGGTGTAGAAATGTGTAATGATTACACAAGTAATACATGGATATTAACACTTCAGATACCGTGAAAACTTGGCCTACCAGCTCAGCCTCACATCATGCCCCTGGCCTCCCGTGCGGTAGCTACAGGTATCAGTTTGGTGTGTGTCCTGGTTTGATATCTGTCTCCACATTGAACACTAGGTTTTGTGAGTGCAAGGGCAACGGCTGGCTTGTTTGCTGCTCCCTCCTGAGTGCCCAGCAAACCCCAAAGCGATCAAACGAGACCTGGATCACTTCCATGGGCGATATGCAGCTTGGGAGATGGGGGACTTATATATATATTTTTTTTAATTGCCAAAACAAGATTAAAAAAATTGTAATATGCTTTGAAGTTTAATCCTGTAAGTGTGTTTCTGTGACTATATATGATACTGTTTGGAAAAAGTATAAAAAGTCTCCATTATAAACCGTTCATGAATATGAGGCCCAGGATAACTGGGCCACCGGACCAGGCCCAGGACGCAGGTGCCTAGTAGGTACTCAATGGTTATTTGTTGGATGACTAAAAGAAAATAAGGAAGCCGTGTGTCAGTAACAGGGGAGTTATTTTGTGGTTTAGTTATTTTGCCATAGGGGTATGGGGAGGGCAAAGTGTTGGGGATAATTGTCGAGTTCACAGAATGGTAGATGGCAGTGCAAGCATCCATTCAGTGTCCTCTCTCACTCCCGTTGCTTTTCTTTGGGATTCCCTGAGGCTGCTTAGGTCATGAGCACCTTTACTCTAGTGGTAACACATAGTTTTATATTGTTTGTTTGACTCACATATCTTTCCTTCCAGACAAAAAATGTGTCTTATTTTTGTTTTCACAGCATCCCTTACGTAAGACACTAACTGCCCATTGAATAAAAGACAGCATGCGATTTCTTATGGTTCTCAAATTTGGACTTTAACCTGTGAGGCAAAACTGCTGAGAGGCTATGAGACCATCTCTTATCCCCTCACCCCCAACACTGCCAGTTCTTTGTAGTAGGTACTCCCAGTAGCTGTCATTTTATCATATCACCCTTAGGGAGACTCTTTGGGCAAACTTACCTTGGCTGTATTTTATAGCCCAGCTTCAGGTCATACACATAATAACTTCCTACACAGGAGTAATTTGACCTCTTAGAAAATGATCCTGATAAAAAGTAATTTAACATGGTGGAACCAATATTTAAATAAATAAATGCACACCATCAGTAAAACCTGCCCTCAGTTTTGGGATTTCCCAGAACAGCTTCGATCCATGTGCTTGTCCCACTTTAGTTTCTCTTGATCCATTTGAACCCCAGTGGTGCTTTCATTTCTGAGAGGATAGTAGGTGTTTCAGATGGTGGCAATGAAAGATACCACATACGAGAATAATCCTCCTCTTTATACACTGGGTAGATGTGAATTTCTTCCCAGACCACATCTGAGAGTGCCTGTGGTCTGGAAAGAAATGAAAGTATGGACTGGGTGATGGACAGGGACGTCCACTTATCTAGGATAAATATTTTGAAAGGAGTTGCTGCCATTCCATGGGTGAGGACAGTGTCTTCTAATTACTATCAGCTTGTATGTGGTCATGAGGTTTCTTGACACTTATAAAGAACAAAAACGGGCATTAACATGGAAAAACTTAAGTGAGCTTTTTTTAGACTGCCAGAAGACTCACATGCTCCAAATTTTAGGATTTTTTTAGCGTTTGGGCAATGATTGAGTTTGGGGTTGGTGTCTGGGAAAAAGGAGTTGCAGGAAACATTAGTTTCCTAGAACTGGTGTAAAAACGTGTCCACAAACTAGGTAGCTTAAAACAACAGAAATTTATTCTCTCAGAGGCTGTAATCAAAGTCATTAGACCAAACCTAAGGAATAATCTTTCCTCCCTCTTCTGGCTTCTGGTGTTGGCTGACAGTCCTTGGTGTTCCTTGGCTTGTAGATGCTTCACTCCAGTCTCTGCCTCCTTAGTCACGTGACATTTCCCATGTGTCTGTGACCCTGTGTCTTCCAGACATGGCTTCTAGCTATTCTTGGGCAACATCTGCACAATTATTAATAATAATAATGGATACTATTTATTCAGTAGTTACAAAGCACCAAGTCTTTATATAAATTATCTTTAGTTCCCCCAGCCACTCTATAATGTAAACGGCATTATCCTCAATTTAAAAAGGAGGAAATGAAAGCTTGGAAATATTTAGTGGCTTGCCCAAGATCATGTAACTGGAAATCCACAGAAGCAAGATTCAAGCCTAGGTTTATCCGAGGCCACGTTGTATTTTTGCAGGATCTGGGGTTGTAAAAGCTTTGGTGTGAAATCCACTGTGTACATCTCTGCAGGAATAGCCTGTTTCATTCCCAAAAGGATCTGAAGCAGCTTATAAAAGATACACAAAACAAGAGAATAAAAAGTAGTTACATCAGAGTTGAGGAAAAACAAGAGCAAGAAAAAAAAATGGAGCTGGGGTGCAGCTAGAACATGAGAATGCATGTGATAGTGCTCAGTGGCATCACTGCAGGGGGTTGCAAATCTACCTAGAAGCAAAGAGGAAATAGGCTCTGTAAAGGAACTCAGTATCCAAAAGATCAAACAAACCAGTAGCAAAGCTAAATCCCCAGTAGAAGCAAAGCTTTGCTTGGTACTGAGTCCTGGGAGGAATTTTTCCTGTGGGCCTTCAAGAAGAGATCCCCATGGGATTTCCTGGGCAGTGGCCCCAGCAACTTCCTTAGAGAGGTAACGCCTCCGCCAGGGCCACATGGGGGGCAGGGTTGCGCCTTGTAAGCTCCTTCCACGGAGGAGGTGGATGTCACATTGCCAGTATGGGTTCCTTGGCAGGCACTCTGCAGGGGCTGTAGAATGTTCTCATGTTGAGCCCCAGAATGGAGTTCACAAGTTCAGCTGGATCAGGAGAGCGTTTCTTCATTGTGGCTCAGAGTGGGGGAAAGTGT